AGCAAACATTTTGTCCCTCTGAATCCCTAAATAAACCAGCAATTCATGATTCCATTTATCCTGGAATGATTTCTTAATGAAGGAATTACGGCTTTGGATTTCAAACCTGACTCAACAGTAGTAAGGTCTCAATTTTCACTCCTAGAGGACTCCCAAAATCAGTTGCCACATGATGGTGAGACACAAATATAGCTCCATCTTCACTTGAACTCAGAAGAGCTGCACTCAGATGACTCCTGGGTAACACCAGCTTTCTTTTAACAGCTTTATTTCACAAATCCCAGCCTCCACAGGTTTTTGGTTTTATTGCTGAAGTGCAGGCAAGAAATGACGCTGACAGCACCCTGTCCCTGACAAACTTCATTTTCACTGACAAGGAAACAGTTATTGCAATTCTTACACAAACTGGTTTGAAGAGATGCTCTGAACACTGAATTAAACAGATTGAATTCAGCCCATGTGTTCTCAAAGCAGACAGACTCTGTCTTCTCCTTCAGGCTCAGATGAAGGAATGGGCAGAGCTGCACTCAGCAAGACTCTTCAATTCTCATATAACATTACATATAATAAAACATCTTGCAAAAAAACCTAAAACTCCAGGTATTTTCCCATTAAAACTCAGCACCACCATTTTCAGCCTCAGCTCCTGCTTGCCTGATACCACAGAAGTTGGATTTTATTGGCACATCACCACGCAAACTGGGCATGCTATAAATCCTTAGTCTTGCCTTAAGAACTTAACAGGCTTCAAGCAAAAAAAAAAAAAACAAAAAAAAACCACAGATGAAGACAAGTCAAACAAAATATTAATGGGTTTATATTTGTATTTAACTGGATAGTTCCACTCTACTGACTTGTATTCAGCTATGAACAAATGAAGTCACACTACAGCCTAAAACACTGCAGCTGCAAACAAAAAAACCCAACCTAACACTCTTCAGTTCTGCTCAACAAAACTCCAAATTCCTTCTGTTCCCCCTCAGCATTTCCAAAAAGGGAAAAAAAAACCAGACTCTGAGTTTGCACAGACTGAATCTGTTACAACAAAATCCCACAAGGTGATGATTTTCAAATGCATCTTAGGGAAACGTCTATTTTCGCTTTTTAGAAAGTGAGAGGTGTTTTTTTTAAGCTTAAGCTCCTTCCCTTCTGTCAGAACTCAACAAGAGCCAGAACACATTTAAAACCCGTCTAAAGGACAGATCAGTGTACAAAAGTTACAGCTGAACATGAGCACTACTGAATCAATTAAAGAAAAAAAAAATCTCCCAACTGCACATCTGCTGAGGGAACAGAGCCATGATGAAAGAGCCAGCAACACCTTCAGGTCCTAAGGACTATTTTGGTAGCAAAAGAAGTGACAGACAATGCCCAAGTTTTCAGAGCAGAAAGATACTTTTGTGAGATGTTTGGCAGCCACACAGACTCACACTGCTCCTTCTGCTGCTCCTACGTACTCACCTGGCTGAATTTTCATGAGGGAAACTAAAATGGAAACGTGCAGGAGGAGGCAGAGCAAAGCATGTGTGGATTGACTTATCAGAGCAGAACGCTTCAACCCTTTGTAAAGTAATTTTTTTTATTAAAACACGAGCTGAGGGCAGTAAGATGGGACTCCTGAGGCTGCCAGCAAGTTCTGCACTGAACGCAGCACATCATTTTCGTGCTCAGAACAAACAATAATGTTAAGAAGCCGCTACAAAGCTGCAAAATCCCACTTTTAAAATCTATTCTCTGTAGAGAGGTATCAGACCCCTGCACAGCTCTCACTCCCACACAGCACAACCTGAAGACACAGATGACTTTAAAATACTCACATGAGGTCTGGAAAGGGAAGGCAGTCCCGAAGGGCTCCGTTCTTCATTTGTAGGCTCTGGGTATCTACACTCATCTATCCTCATATAGGAGTCGTATAATCCATCCGCAATCCTGGCTGGAATGGTCCCACACACAAACCAGTTATTCACAACAACCCACGCTGAGAGAGACAGAGCCAAAAGCTTAAATGCACATTTTACTCTGTAAAATCATTGATTCTCCTTCATTCATTAAATCATCTTTGGAATTTAACTCAAATTTCAAACCGCAGGAGTGCGATGCTTCTGGGAAATCTTAATTCGAGATACTTTTAATTTAGAGGTTCCTTTTTGTTAATCAATTTCTGCACTGCAATAAAACACATCCCTAAGAATCATTAACCACCATTTTCCCCGCTTCCCCTTTATCGGGATAATCCCAAACGAGCAGAAAACGAGCGAACACTTAAACCCTTGATAGGACTATCCTTTAAAGCAGGTTATCCCTTAAAAATGAGATGTGGGAATCACAGCTGCAAAAGCGTGGGGGGAAAAAAAAAAGACAAAAAGGCGGCGTCTCTCGCTGTCGGCTGCTCCAGAACTTCAAATCGCGACGCGTGTCGCGACAGAGCCGACGGACGGCGGGGACCACGCGGGGGGCTCCGACCCAAACCGCATCCCCCTTCTTCCTCCCAGCCCCGCGGGACCCCCGGCCGCCACCTCCTCCTGCTCACCGGCTGCGAGGGGCCCGTCCGGCTTCCTGCCGAGCAGCATCGTGGCGGGGGGGCCCCGGCGCGGGCCCCATTCCCGGCGGCTGCCGCTGCCCAGCGCGGCCGCTCGGCCCCGGCCCGGCCCGCCCGTTGCCCCGGGAACGGCCCCCGCCCGCCGCCCGCCCGCCCGCGCCTGCGCAGCGCCGCCGGGGCGGGATCCCGCCCGGGGCCGCGGAGCTCCGCGCTCGCCTCGCTGCTCCCCTCAGCCGAGCCCACCCTACAGAACCCCCGCACCCGCGGCTGCGGAGCTCCGCGCTCGCTTCGCTGCTCCCCTCAGCCGAGCCCGCCCTACAGGACCCCCGCACCCGCGGCTGCGGAGCTCCGCGCTCGCTTCGCTGCTCCCCTCAGCCGAACCCGCCCCACAGAACCCCCACGGCCGCGGAGCTCCGCGCTCGCCTCGCTGCTCCCCTCAGCCGAGCCCGCCCTACAAGACCCCCGCACCCGCGGCTGCGGAGCTCCGCGCTCGCCTCGCTGCTCCCCTCAGCCGAGCCCGCCCTACAGGACCCCCGCACCCGCGGCTGCGGAGTTCCGTGCTCGCCTCGCTGCTCCCCTCAGCCGAGCCCGCCCTACAGGACCCCCGCACCCGCGGCCGCGGAGCTCCGCGCTCGCCTCGCTGCTCCCCTCAGCCGAGCCCGCCCTGCGGGACTCCGCGCATCGCGGAGTGCTCGGCCTGGGGGAGAGGAGGCCGCCGTGGCTGGATCGCGCCTGGGGCTGCGGAGCTCCAGGGCTCCGCCGCTTCTCCCCTCGGCCAAACCCGCCCCGTGGGTTCCCCTCATCAGGGGGTTCGGAGATCCAGCGCTCCCCCGCTTCTTCCCTCAGCCAAACCCGCCCCGCGGGGTCCCCTCATCAGGGGGTTCGGAGCTCCAGATGTCGCTCCGCTTCTCCCCTCTACCAAACCCGCCCTACGAGACCTCCGCACCCGGGGCTGCGGAGCTCCAGGGCTCCCCCGCTAAAAAATAAATAAAAAAAAAAAAAAGTGGTGTCTGTGGCTCTGCACAACCCTCTGACAGGAGGGGACAGCCGGGGGGGATTTGGGATCTTGGGATCTTATCCCAGGGAACAGGGACAGGAGGAGAGGGAACGGCCTCAGGCTGTGCTGGGGAGGCTCAGGTTGGACACCAGCAGGAATTTCCTCATGGGAAGGGCTGGAAGGGGCTGCCCAGGGGGGGTTGGGGTGCCCATCCCTGGAGGTGGCACCTGGAAGTGGCACTGAGTGCTCTGGGTGGGGATCGGGCACAGATTGGACATGATGATCCTGGAGGGATTTTTCAATCTCCGTAACTGTGATCCTGGGAAGGCTGCAATTACAGGAACACTCAAACAAATGTACAAATCACAGCAAGAACGCCCAGCTGCCAGGGCACGTTAACCAGAAAACAGCTGAGAAGTTTAAGCACAAAAGGAACCCCACATTTCTGAGAACCCCTCGTGTGGAGGAGCCCAGGGGTGCCGGGGGGGAACCTCAGAGCCTGGCGGGGAGCCCAAGACCCCCTCAGGAACCCGGCGTTTGGGAGACCGGGACCTCCTCAGGGAGCCAGGATAGGGAGATGGAGACCCCATCAAGGAGCTGGGGCAGGGTTCCCCAATGCAGGCAAGGGGGACAGAGACCCCCTCAAGGAGCTGGGGTGGGGGAGACCAAGACCCCCTCAAGGAGCTGGGGTGGGGAGATGGAGACCTCCTCAAGGAGGTGGGGTAGGGAGACTGAGATCCCCTCAAAGAGCTGGGGTGGGAGTCTCCACCTTGGGCAAGGGGGACAGAAACCCTCTCAAGGAGCCGTGGCCAGGGGGACCAAGACCCCCACAAGGATCTGGGGCAGGGGACCAGGACCCCCTCAAGGAGTTGGGGTGAGGAGACCGAGACCCCCTCAAGGAGCTGGGGCAGGGAGATGGAAACCCCCACAAGAAGCTGGGGCGGGGGACTAGGACCCCCTCAAGAAGCCGGTGTGTAGAGACTGAGACCCCCCCAAGGAGCTGGGGTGTGAGTCTCCAACTCGGGCAAGGGGGACAGAGACCCCCTCAAGGAGTTGGGGCAGGGGAGACCAAGACCCCCACAAGAAGCTGGGGCGGGGGACCAGGACCCCCCCAAGGAGCTACGTGGGGAGACTGAGACCCTCTCAAGGAGCTGGGGCGGGGGTCCCCAGTGCAGGCAAGGGGGACAGGGACCCCCTCAGGGAGCTGGGGCAGGGTGATGGAGACCCCCTCAGGGAGCTGGGCCGGGGGGACTGAGACCCCCTCAAGGAGCTGGAGCAGGGTGATGGAGACCCCCTCAGGGAGCTGGGCCGGGGGGACTAGGACCCCGCAGGGGGCCAGCATTGTGGGGGCAGGGACCCCCTCAAGGAGCCGGGGCAGGGGGACCAGTGCCCTTCAGGGAGCTGGGGCGGGGGTCCCCAAGCGGGCGAGCGGGCCCGGGAGCGCTGCGGGCGGCGGGGCGGGGGTCGCGGGCGCTCGGCGCGGCCGGGCGCCGTTTCCAGCCGGACGGGTTACGGGCGCGGACGGCGCCATGGCGGCCGCGGCGGGCTGAGGGGACGGCGCGGGCCCGCCATGTTCGCCAGGGCGTTCCGCGTCAGGGCCAACTCCGGCATCAAGGGCTCGGACCGGTGAGTGCCGCGCCGGGACCCGCCGGGACCCGCAGGGAGCCGCAGGGAGCCCCGCCGGGCCGGGGGGACGCGCGGGGCTCGGCCCCGGGGCCGCGGTGGCGGCCGGCGGTGCCCCCTCAGCAGCTGCTTTCACCCCCTGCTCGTGATGCACTCCCGAGCACGGAGTGTGCGTTGCGCTGGAAGGTGCTGCCGTGATTAAGCCAAGGTTAATTGAAATGTTATGCCGAGGCCTGGATGAGGCCTTCTGCGTTTATTTATAGCAGCGTTCAGTGTCTAAAGGGGCTGTAAGGGAGCTGGACAGGGGTTTAGGATAAGGGCATGGAGTGACAGGACTAGGGGAAATGGCTTTAAACGCTTTAAACTGTAGGAGGGTAGGTTTATATTTGATATTAGGAAGAAATTGTTCCCTGTGAGGGTGGGGAGGTGCTGGCACAGGTGCCCAGAGCAGCTGTGGCTGCCCCTGGATCCCTGCAGTGTCCAAGGCCAGGTTGGATGGGCTGGGAGCCACCTGGGACAGTGGAAGGTGTCCCTGCTGTGGCAGGGGTGGGACTGGATCGAATTTAAAGTCTCTTTTTACCCGAACCATCTGTAATTCTCTAATTCTTTATGTTCCTGAGCAGCAATGCTGGGCTGACCTCCTGATTGTTCAGGTTCACTGGACAGTGCTGTGAATAACCACCAACCCCCCTGTGCTGGTCACTGGGGTTTAAGTTTCAATTAAGACTGGGGGACAGGGAAATCTGGCTGTCCCCTGCTCCAGCTGCGGGTGACAGGCTGGGCAGAGCGAGTGTGGCACTCCCAGGTTGAAATCACAGCCCAAAACAGAGGCACAGGCAGCAAACAGAAGCTGAAAGCAGATGTTTAGAGCAGATAGGAGCAGGGCAAGTATATTTGGCCTTTTTGTGATATTCTTACATAATTTGTAAACCCATAAACAAATACTTCAAATTATCTCCTGTGAAAATGTGGGAATCTCAGGAACAGCTGGCAAAACAGAACAGCATATGTAGGAATTAGTTTGAGGGATGGCCTAGACAGCTTTGTAACCCGTTTGGGATTTTGTCATTGCAGGAGGAAGCTACGAAGTGATGTGGCAGCAGCTTTTCCCACCCTGAGCACTGAACAGCTGGCTGAGTTGGTTCCAAACAAGGAGGAGCTCAATGTCATCAAAATATACTCTCACAAAGGGGAGGCCATCACTGTTTACATGAACCACAGGAACCCAATACTGTTTGAAGCTGAGAAAGTTCTGTATCCAACAGGTAAGGAGAAAGGATTGGAATAATCCTCCCTCTTTGCTTACCTTCCCAATTAATTATTGTGGCATTGTTTTGATGTCACATTTCTTTATTATCCAATTAAGTGTTTTATTATCTAATTAAGTTTAATCTCCTTGATTAACTCTCCAATGAGAGTTTAGTCTTAAAGATGAAAAGAATCAGCATCTAGAAATGTTCTTAAGGATGCATTTTTAAATTTACTTCTCTTTTGGGACAGTGTACACTCTGTGGGTCTACCCAGACCTTCTCCCTGCCTTTGCAACATGGCCCCCAGTGCTACAGAAACTTGCAGGAGGTGCAGGTAAGAGCACCAGAACTTTGTCCCTTTGCACTGCAAAAAGGAGTTGCCTTGAGGGCTTTTTAGGTGTTTTGCTTCACAGTAGCAAAAATGTACCTGAAACAAGTAGAAGAAATGAGTACTCAAAAAAAATTCGTGGTGGTGGTGTCCTAGAAAGGAAATAAATTAGCTGTAAAAGGTGTTTGTGAAAGAAGGAAGGTAGGTGAAGGTGTTTAAATGCAGTAACCTGCTCCGTGTGGGAGGCTCAGGTTGGGAAATCCCTTCTCAGGGTGATGAGCAGCCCTGAACTGGGACACAGAAGTGCCCGTGCTGTTGGTCTGTCCCTTTTGAAAGTTCCTTTGCTGCCACCCTGCTTCCTGTCAGTGCCCAGGTGAACAACCTCGTCCTGTGGATTAGAAGGAAATTTATTTTGGAAGCTACGATGCAATCACTGGCAGCCAAACTGTGGATGTGCAGGTGGGGTTGGAGCTGAATTCCCGGGTTACTGGCTCTACCACCTCGTTATGGATCAAGACTAACAGGACAGTTTCTGTTTTCTGAAACCTGCTTTGGATGCAGTTCAGTCTCAGGAGAATCAGCCCATTATAAACTTTAAACTGCTGAGCTGCTCAAGCAGAAAAAGGTTAAATTTGAGCTGCTGCAGCCTTGGTCTCTACCTGGAAGTGCTCACGTAGGAAGGGATGTCTTTTTTCCATGACACAGCATCTAAAGTGGAACTCGGGTCTCTCTGCTTTGATTGTTCTTGGGGAAAATAAAGTGCTCGAGTGTGTAGCTGTGATAGACATCTGAGCAGGAGCCTCTCTGCTGACTTGTAATGACCCATTTTCTGGGGAGAAAGACTTGCTAATGAGGAAGGACATTGATGAAAGAGGCCTGCGGGTCATTCATTGCCCTGGCAACCAGGCTACCTCTGTGCAGGATCCAAAGATAAGGAGCTGGCCCGGAGACAATGGCCACAAAGGCAGGGGAGAGTAGAGCCAGTCCTCAGAAGGGACAGGAAAGGCACCAGGCTCTCCAGTGCTGCAGATTGGAGCACTGGAGGAGATTCAGTCCCTAAAAGCAGCATGTTTTGGGATATCTCTTCCATAAATTCAAATACCTGCTGTCTGCCCTGGTAATTTACATAATTTAATGCTGCTTATGTGGTCACATTAAGGCCTTGATGTGGTTTCTGTCCCCAGCTATGTGGAGCTCTGGTGGCAGCTGCAGAGTTCATTCTAGACTTGATAAAAATACTTGTGATAATGAACAGGGGGAAGAATCTTGGCTTCTTCAGCCTCCACATTAAATCAGGGATGCTGGGGAAAATGTGAGTGAGATACCTGCAAAACCAAGCCATGGAACAGCTCAGACTGGAGACTGCAGGGAGCTGCAGTGAGGGAGAGCAGCTGCTTTTCCCATCTTTTGGTGGTGACATCCCCCACCTGCAGCATGGAAAACTCTACTTTGCTCACATCCCAGTCTGGTCATGCCGGGTGTGGGGAGCAGAAGGAAGCAGGGGTGTAGTTTCTGACCAAAACAGCAAGGAAAGAGAATTCCCTGAGAATTCCCAGCTGGCTGCAGCTGATGTGGCAGATTTGGGAGGGATGGAGTATGGCAACTTTTTGGCAATTCTTTCTCCAGGGAAAAAGCTGCTGGGATAGCCTTCCCTTGGGCAGGGTAAATGGATAATTCCCGAAACTTCTCATTCCTTTCCCTTTCTATGCCATTAATGAAGAGCTATGCTGGGAGCTCGTTAAAAACAGTCCCTCAGGTCTGACAGGGCTGAGCAAGCTTCACTCTGCAGTTTTTTGGGATGTGCCCAGCAGCCCGATGGATTGGATCCCGCACTCCACGGGGAAAAAACGGTGCTTTAGGAGGAGAAACAGAGAATCCTGTTCTCCCTGGCGTGTGCTCAGCTGGTGCTTTTGCTGAGTAACGGGAGGGAGGGGGGCGGAGGAGGCGGTGCCTGAGCGTTTCATTGAGAAAGGGACGCGCTTCGTTCTTCCCGCAGACCTGATGCTGCCAGGAGTTGTGGTGCCGCCTTCTGGCCTCCCTCAAGTGCAACGGGGCACGCTCTGTGCCGTCACACTGCTGGGAAACAGGTACAGAGGATTCTCCAGTCCACAGCCCGTCCAGAAAATAAAAATGAAGTGAAGGGTTTGGAGGAAATCAAAGCAGAAATGGTGTTGTGCACTTGATGCACTGGGAACCTCAGCAGTGAAAGATACATCAAGGAAAAAACCTTAATTTTTTTGGGTTAGGATATATTTGAACTGAGAAGGGAAGCTTTATAAATTGCTTCTTTTGGACCAATTTGAACCAATGTTTCTAACAAAATATTGTATTCTGCCCGATTGTCTTTGTGTCTATGTGGATTATCCGAGTGAGGGAGTTCTAAAGCCATTGGTTTTCTCTCACTGCTGGTCTCTTCTGGCAGTGCATATGCTTCTTGTAATTTATTAAAAGCACAACCTTCACTTCATCCAGGCTGCACTTATCCTGGGATTCTTTGGAAAACCTTACATACCAGAGGATAACCAGAAAATATGTAGGTGCTTGAAAAAAGCCCACTTGGTAAAGAACAGGGACACTGTAAAATAAATTCAGTCTAACACATTAGCACAGCCTGTGTACAGTATTTGTGTTGTCCTGCTCCAACATTCCCTCCTTTTCCCAGAGCTCCTGTGGCAGTTGGAGTTGCCACCATGTCCACAGAGGAGATGCTGGCTGCTGGAATGAAAGGGAAGGGCTTTGCTGTGCTGCACACTCACCTGGATCACCTCTGGTGGGTAACTGCCAGGCCTTGGGGAAAATGTGCAACAGGTTTCATGTGTTCACTGAAATCCAAATCTGTGCCCCACTAGGATTAATCTGTCAGGCCAACTTGGTGAATTATTTGGGTACAGTTTAGATAGGGCCTTTATTTAGAATTTATGGAGGAAAATGAGTTCAAAGTAAATTTTACAGGCAGAAAAAGACCCATGCAGGTACCAGTGTCTTTATTCAGAGTGACATCTGTTCACTGTCCGGTGGTTCAAAGCAGCAAAAGGAAAGCTGTGTTCTGCTTTTTCTTCCTTTTGTAGGGAGTATGGTGACAAATCTTCTCCTCCCACCTTAGCTCCCTTGGTAACGGATTCTGCTGCGATGGAGAGTGCTGGAGACGAGGAAGAGCTGCAGGGGAAGGAGCGTGGCAGCAGCTGCTCCCCTGAGCCAGAGCAGCACGTGGACATCAGGGATTTGAGCCTCAGGGACAGAGACACTTGTGCAGAGCTGCTGGGGAAGGAGGAGCTCCATGAGAACAGAGCTGCAGAGCCAGCTGAGGATGCCAGCACAGAGGACCACCAGGAGGCTGAGGACAGCAGGACCCCACAAGGTATTTTTGGCTCCCAGTGAAACCAAACCATGCCCCTTTGGTTTGCTAAAGCCCACAGACAACTCACTGCCTACCTGTCCTTTTTTCTCCCTGCAGAGCAAATGGATGCATTGTTTAATCAGTGCTTTTTCCATGCCTTAAAATGCAAAGTAAAGAAGTCAGATCTCCCTCTGCTCACCAGCACATTTCTAGGCAGCCACATGGTCTCCTGCTGGTACGTGGGAAGGAGATGGAATTGGGATTTGCATGCTGGGATTTGGTCTTTAAAATGTGGAGATTTGTGTGGGATATTTAGGAAGAGTGAGTTGTGAGTAAAAAATAAAATCCACTTCCTAAATAAGGTTATGCTCTCTTCTGCCATCAAGTACTTGGATCAAATACAATCCTTATGTTAAATACTTGGGTGTAAGGATTTTGCAGACCTGGATTTGCACTTGGGAGCCAACTTGACTTGGCTGACATTGGTTTCACCATGGTTTAGTCACCTGAGGGGCTGCTTGCCTGCCCACAAAAACATCAGCACTAATTTCACTCATCACATTCTATTGATCAGTTTCTTTGGAGTAATTCTTTCTCTGTGTGATTTGTATTCCTGCTGTTAAGAAACTTCTAGCATAAGTAGCAAGATTTAAGAAGAAATTAAGGGTGACTTATAACTAAAGAACTTTAAAAAATCCATTTTTAGCCCTGCTGGAAAACAACTGGACATAAAGAAATCAAGCTATAAGAAGGTGAGATTTTTCTGTTGGTTTGGGTGGGTTTTTTTGAATTAATTTTAATAAGTATGAATAGAGAAAAAGCTGAAAACACAAGAGCAGGAGTTGAAAATGCTTGACTCCACATTTCTGATTGTTGCTTCCATCAGTTCTCTAAATTCCTGCAATGCATGCAGCAGCAGAGGATCTTACAAGTGAAGGAGCTGAGCAAAGGTGTGGAGAGCATCGTGGACGTGGACTGGAAACACCCAGAGTACGTAGAATATCACAGTCTTTAAAAGAGTTGGGACTCTCTGAAAGAAGGGAGTGGAATCTGCTGCCTCCAGCTCTGTTTCCATCCCTTCTACTCACACCAAACAATTCTTGTGGCAGCATTAAAGCATTTGCAGTGCCTGAAGGATTTTCCTCAGCCTCTGCTGGCCAAGACAGCAAAAGTGAAGACAGAGAACAAGTGTACCATGCTCCTGAAATCATTCCACTTTATGGGGTCTCCACAAAAATGATCCCACTCTTTCAGGAATCTGGACACAGGTAAGCACAAAAAAAAAAAAAAAAATTAAGAGAGAGACCAACAAAACTGATGTTTTTCTCTTACTGCCGGAACCCAGCACCCAAATATTTGATTTAAAAATTCTTTAACTTGAGTTAAAATTTTTAACTTTAGTTAAAAATTCCCTTCAGAAAAGGCAGCATCCTCTCAAGCAGTGAGGTGAGAAACATCATCATTAACTACGTGAAGAGTAATGAGTTGGTTGATGAAACAAACAAAAAGTGAGTACAATTGGAAATTTTCCTTTCCTGCTTCCACAGGAGAGGCTGAAATTCGAGGGGGAAAAGTGACCTGGTTTGCACCTTCTGTGTGCTTTTGTTTTGCAGCTTAGTAAAGGTGAATGCCATTCTGTGTGACTGCCTGTTGGATAAATCAGAACAGGATGAGATCTCACACCTTAAATGGGATGAACTCTTGAGCAGGTGATTGTTCTCTCAATATCCCTCCCCAGAACTGCACAGATTTTTTGCCTGCAGCTCAAACCCCGTGGTGACAGCTGCCCGAGTTGTAATTTCCTGGAGATAAATGGGAACAAGATGAGATCTCACACCTTAAATGGGACAACCTTTTGAGCAGATGCTTGTTCTCAATATCCCTTCCCAGAATGACACAGATTATTGCTTTGTCCAGGTGCCTGGAACGACTGCAGCCCTTACACCAGGTGACATTTTCTGGACAAGAACCCGTGGTGAGGAAAGGAAACATCGAGCCCATTGACATCAGCATAGCACAGAGATCATCAAACAAGAAGGTGAAAAAAGGCAATTAAATGAGGGGGGTTGAGCAGATGAGATCCCAGATCCAGAGGGCAGCTTTGGCAATCATTATTAAACCCTCAGCAGTGATTTTTCCAGTCCTTACTAAACCCTTTATCAGTGATGTTTCCAATCATTATTTAATCCTTTATCAGTGGTGTTTCCAATCATTATTAACCTTTTAGCAGTGATGTTTCCAATCATTATTTAACCCTTTTATTAGTGATGTTTCCAATCACTATTAACCCTTCAGCAGTGATGTTTCCAATCATTATTTAACCCTGTAGCAGTGAAGGGTTTCCAATCATTAGTAACCCTTTATCAGTGGTGTTTCCAATCATTATTAACCTTTTAGCAGTGATGTTTCCAATCATTATTTAATCCTTCAGCAGTGAAGGGTTTCTAATCATTATTAGCCCTTTATCAGCGATGTTTCCAATCATTATTAACCCTTTAGCAGTGAAGGGTTTCCAATCATTATTAACCCTTTAGCAGTGAAGGGTTTCCAATCATTATTAACCCTTTAGCAGTGAAGGGTTTCCAATCATTATTAACCCTTCAGCAGTGATGTTTCTGATCCCTATTTAACCCCTCAGCAGTGATGTTCCCAATCACTATTAAACCCCACAGGTGACAATTATCAAGAACCTTGAGCTCTATGGTCTGGACCCACAGTGTGTGGCCAACACTCTCCAGCAAAGGGTCCAAGCCAGTGCCACCATCAGCCCAGCACCAGGAACAAAGGACAGAGTCCAGGTCCAGATCCAAGGCAACCAAATCCATCATCTGGCCAAGATGCTGCTCGGTAAGAAGATTCTAGAACTGGGCTGGGTGCAGAAAAGTGAGATTTTAATTCTTATTTATCTCTTCCTTACCTGAAGTGAGCTCTTGGTTGTGTTGCAGAAGAATTTCAGCTACCTCGGAAATACATCCAAGGCCTGGAGAAGGCTCCAAAGCTTGGCCGCAAGAAGTAGGAGAAAAATCAGCTGTAAGGATTGCTCAACTCTCATTATTTATAAAAGTGTTTGCTGCCAGCAAATCAAGGATCATGCACAGGCCCTGCTCATTCCAAAATGAGTCCTGGATGTTTACAAGGTCTGGAATTCACCCAAATAATAATATTGCTCCAGGTGTTCATTTTTCATAAAAATAAAAAGCTCAATAAACCCCTTGGCGTTATCCTTGTGTGATTTTTTTTAATGGAATTTGATACTGAAGCACTGGATGCTACAGTGGCTTTTGGGTAGTTTAACATTCTTGCTTTGCAACTTTGATCAAGGATGTGGAATAAACCTCCACTGAAATATGAGAAAAATACATTCCAGCACAATCCTGGGACAGTGCAGTGTGTTCTGCCATCGAGTAAACTTACTCTGGCTTAGATTTTATCCTTTTAAACATTTCCAGGTATTGAAATCAGACATTTCAGCACTGAGAATTAACTGTATTAGCTGGACTTCTGTAGTTTATGTTATTTTTTTTAATATAAAAATACATTTTAATGTATGACATGAGCTGTAATTTATCACAGGTAACAGTTCTGTCAGCCCCAGCTAAAAGATTAAATGAATGGAACACTTTGGTCAGGTCTTACAGGGGTGGCTGTTCTTTAGCTCTTTAACAGTAGGTTAGGAAATTTAAATTCACTTCTAGGAAGGTTTCCTGTATTTTCCTTTAGACAAAATCCATTGAAGTTCCATAGGAGGGCACCAGAAAAAGAAGGTCAAGAGATTTCTTTAATTACTGACAGTTTTATTATCATTGTCTCTTACACTGTCTGCATATGAACAAATAGTTCCAGAACCTTCAAAAAAAGCTGAGAGTGAGACATTTTGTAAAAATGCCATAGAATCACTAGGGAGTAGTAAAAATAAATTACAGCATTGCAAAAATGCATTTCACTTTGCCATAGAAGCTCTACTATTCCATCCTATACACATTATTTTACAGGTTTTACAGTAGCCATGAAAAATAAACTCACACGACAATTGCTAACCAAAGGCACTGCCAACAGGATTTGCGCTTAAAGAAGGGGCAAATACTTCTAAGAACAGCTCAACTGACCCATGAGAATTTGAACTTCAGCACCCACCAACTCTTCAAATGCCCCTCATACTGAAAAAAACCCCAAACGAACGAGCCCTGCTGGTGGCAGGAGGATTTCAGCAGCATCCACAGTGATTGCATACGAAGCCATGCCTTCTACAAACTGTCAAAGACATGCTGGGGCCAGGAAGGGAGAGGGGACACTCACCAAAACAAAAAAAAAACAAAACCAAAAAGGAAACCTGCACAACTTTTAGCCAGAAAGAAAAGGGATTTCAAACCAAGCGTGTGGCTCTTCCCTCTGAGAGCCACCGGCAATTTTTACAGCGCTCTTCCCCGCGGTGGAACTGAAGTATTTATAGGGTGCTGTCAAGGCTCAAAGCACCAGATAAACGGCATTGAAGCGACTCCACAAGGGAATAGTGAAGTGCTCGGTCTGCTTGTAGCTGGACAAGCAGCCCCGAGCACGGCAAGGGCTGCTCTGGGCTGCCAGCAGCTGTTAAAGGTCGCTGGGTGTAGAGTACAGTACAGCTGGAGGCTCCTGTGCACCAGAGCCCTGCCAGCAAACCTCCCTGCTGACAGAAAGTGCCTTTCACACCAGCCCAGGGCTCCAAGTAATGCAGTTACTCTAGAAACAAACATACTCAAAATCTGGGGAAAAAAAAAGAAAATCCCAAGCAGTCACCTTCCAGAAAGAAACAAACCAGTTCCTCATCCCTCCCCGGACACCAGGGCCTCGTCACACCAGTGACAGGAGGGACAAGGGCTCTGCACAGCTTCCTCCTTAGCCTGAATGCAAAGTTTTCACACTTAAGGGAAAAAAAAAGGCACTGAGGTAAATTTGAGACTCCTCGCCGTTCTCTTACAACCTGCTGCCTCCCCTGCCAGGGGCTGAGGTGGGGTCCCAGCAGCCACAGTGAGCCCCAGCTGTTCGTGGAGCCACACAAACCCGGCCCTGCTCCATCCCCATCCAGCAGTCCATTCCCTGGGCTGGGAACAGAGGGAGGGCTGGCCCTGGCTGTGTGCAGCGTGCTCGCTATGGAGCACTGAGGGTAAACATGGGCCCAAACTCTCCCCTGGGATCCCTGGAGCATTCCCAGCCCGGCTGCGATCCCTGCACGGCCTCAGCACCACGGAGCCAGCCTGCAGCTCAGGGGCTTTGCTGAGGGATGCTCAGCATGGTGTGCTGGGAGCCCTGAGACAGCAGAGAGAGATTTGCTGTCCTCTCCTGGCTCCACGGAGAGAGCAAATCCTGGGAAGCTTCCTGGACGTGCAGGACAGCACCAGTTGGGAGTGGGGAGGGAGGACAGGGCACAGGGACAGCAGGGCTGGGACAGCACTGCCAGGAGCAGGAGGAAGCACAGGTGAGGTGAGCAGAAAGCATCCAAGGACAGTAATTCCCTTACTTGGTGCTACCTCCACACCCCAGCCCTGGATGGGGCTCCTCTCCCTCGGGGCCAGGCACGTTCACAGCTCAAAATCTGATTTGTGAAGAGGTTTTGAGCTTTCCTGGGTTCCTCTGATGGACACGTATTGCTAAACCTTCAACACTGAACCCTCAGCCTGTGCCCCAACCATCACCTTTACACTTTTCAAACAGAATTTCTGGAAATACAGGTCCCAGTTCCTACAGAGTAGAGAACTGGAGAAACACTAGCTAACTTGGCTAAGCATCAGGGACAGTTACTGTAATTCAGCTCTTTCCAAAATTAGAAGTCAAACAGAATCAAAATGAATGATTTTCCTGGGAATTACTATTACCAAGTTGCAATAATATTTACTAACAGACTGTTGGGGTGTTGCAGCTGCCTTGGTGTCCTAACCTGGCATTTCCCTGGCTGCCTGAGCCCTGAACAAGTCCAGGGCTTGGCTAGAGCTGCAACACCCATGTGGTTTGGTGCAACAACCTCCTCCCCTTTTCCCGCTGTTTCCTGTGCTCCTTACGAAACCAGAACTGGGCCACGAGGGCACTGTGGGCCACGGCACCTCCAAACAGGAACAAGCAGCTCGCTGGGAGGAGCAGGAACAGCAGAGCTGCCCTGCTCCAAACTTCAGCCAGCAGATGGGCCCTGTTGGGTGGCACACCAAGAATTTTCCATGCAGCACCTCCAGCGGATGGCACGGCTGGAAAGCCAACCAGCAGCTGTGTTTGCTTTGTTGAAGCTGTTTTAAAAACAGGCTTCCTGTCCTTGGACTGGTTCTGGTCCTGGGAGAAGAGGTTTCAGAAGAAGAAAATGCAGTAGGATCATTTTAGGGGTGCTGGGAGCCAGTCCTTATGGAAGGTTGAAGAGGGAAAATGACTACTAAGGTGTCCTGAGAAGTCTTTTCATTAAAAACAGTCTCTAGCTTAGTCTGATGCCCAGTGCCTCCTGAAGGTTATCCAGGTTTGCCTCTGGCTTCTTTCAGGGTCTGTTGCAGTCTCTGTTTGAACCTCTCGTACTTCCTGTGCACCTGCTGGATTTTGTCCTTCTCCTCTTTGTCCAGGATCATCAGGAAGTTCTGCAGCTCGGGGATGGAGAAGGCGTCCCACTGCAAAAGCAGCAAGAGGCAAAGTGAGCACACACCTGCTGGGCTTTGGGGATTCTTACCTCTGAATCTGTGAGGAGGAGCAATAAACTACATTTAAATGTATCTGATCTCCAGGGATTTAACCTCCTGTGCTCAGGGGGATGGGATAAGGGGCTACAGCATGAAGGACCATCCCAATTCTCCCACCCCACATGGGAAACAGAATCCCGCAGGATGCAGCAGCTCCCAGCATTTGCTTCACTGTGTGGGGAGCAAGATTTCAACCAAAAACTGTGAATTTATTAGCTGAGTGTCCCTGGCTTTTACTTAAATTAGTGAATTACTTATAACAGTGCTCAGCTAATCTAATTAGTGAGGATTGACCCTGGGGTGGCACTGCCGGGTTCCATGAACAGATTATGGAGTGGCCATCAAAACTGGCCTCAGCATTTTCACAGCTCAAGTTTGAATTATTTTAAAAACCCAGATCACTTAGGAGCAATAAAAGACCTCTTAGAGGGAAACAGCCCTTTTTTTCTGCCTCTGCCACGCACCTCCCAGCTCTGCCACGTGCTCCACATTTGTGTGAAAACCAAGAAAAAGTCACAACGTACCTCAACTTCCCCCGTTTCGTTTTCCTTCAGCACAAAGCTCAGCACATCGGTGTCAGGGCCCGCCAGCAGCCGCAGGTACAGGGGGTACTCGGTGAGAGGGAGCTTCTGGAAGAGCACTGCAAGGACAGCACACCCCCCCAGTGAGATCAGGGCTGCCAGGGCACAGGGAAGCTCAGGGGATCAGCTGGAGCATGGAAAAGGGTGTGCAGGATCACAGGGCTGAGTCTCTATCACAGATTCATAATGATCCCTGTAAGGTCTCAGGTGGTTTCAGCCCCTTCTGAAATCAGAATTCCCTGTTAACCTAAGCAGCATCACCTCCTCTGGGGCTGTTGATTCACCTGGATTTAGGCTTTGCCTGCCTGACACCCCAGTGAGTCCTACAGGACACCAACCAGAAGCCAAAACCCCCACCCCAGGCAGAGCTGCCAGGCCCTGAACTCACCTTGCCCGTCTTTCCTCATCTCCTTGAAAAGTGCAAACTTCTGGGGGTTATCCACCACCATGAACTTCTTCAGGAGCCCCTGGATCACCTCGCTCACCGTGGTGGTGCTGCTGATGTGCAGCTGCTTGATGGCATCCAGGGGCAGGTAGAAGGAGGTTCTCTTGTCCGTCATCTCGGCCAGGTTCACCTCCTTGAGGGCATCGTAGATGGACGGGGGCCGGATCCCGGCCGGCACCGTCACGGGGCGCCGCAGCTTCAGGTGCACCTTGATGAACCCCGTGTACGTCCCGTCGTCGTTCTGGGGCAAAGCACACAGGGATCAGGCTCCAGGCAGCTTTCCCATCCTTTTTCCACCACAAGGGGTTGGTGTGCAGCGTGGGGTGACAGCAGGAGCTGCCCCCGCTCCGGGAGTTCCAGCGGTTCTCATTAATCATGTAAAAATACCCAGTAATTTCGGGACAGGCACTGCTGATTTTCTCTTGGTAATGACTCATCCCTTCCTGTCGCCTGTGGGATCTTGTTTTATTTCAAACCAGCCCTGCTACGAGGCAGTTATG